GTCATGTCCTCATCTTTACTTTTTGGATCTTTGTATTTTTTAGACCAAGGGCTTTCGAGTTGGTTTCACCCATTGGCTTTAGACCTGCCTCCTGCTTGTTGAGAGCTTCCTCTAACATATTGTTTCAAGTGGCCTTCTCGAATACAACACTCAATCTTCCTCTTAAGCTGGTGGCATTTGTCGCGGTGAAAAATCAAGGAGATCAAGCTATTGAGAAACTTGACTCACAATGATTTAAGAAGTCACCACTGAACTTTATTGTTTCCAAGGAAAAGGGAAAAGATTGAAACCCTATTGTTTAACATGAAATGCAAAAAGTAAAGACTAAAAGAAAAGCATAAGGAAGAGATCCAAGATACGGGGATTAATTATACAAAGGTAATGTATTAGTACCCTGTGTATCTATAGTACTATATTAGGAACTACTTATAATATCTGTTTTTTGGTTTAAAATTGTTTGTTTGCTAAATGAGTGTGTAAATGGGGAAACAAATGTATTTTAATATATTTTTGTTTCGAAAGACATAGTCTTATACCTACATAACAAAATGGTTTATTGTGATTGATTTTAGGAGAAAAAGATATCTCATCATCTTTTTAGAGAGAAAACTCAACTAATACCACCACAAGTATGAGAATATGGATCTTGCGTCATCATGAAGGAAAGGCTACTAACTTGGATATAAAGATCAATAAGATGCCATTTAACATCTTCATGTGGAAAGAATCACATTTGCTTCAACAATTACTATGGGGATAGGAGAATCATATCTCAACTATGAAGAAGATTTTATATATAATCTCTTTGGGAAACATTTTAAATTGGAAGGGCAAGTGGCAAAAAGATTTGGGTGAGGTTAAGTCACTTTTAGTATTTTGAAATTGTTTTGATAAGCTTAAGTATATTAAAGAATTTATTAAAGAAAGAAAGTTTGAAAATGCAATGACACAAAGTCAAGATTTTTTATATGAAAGTGGTGAAAGTTTGAAAATGATTTTTAAGGTTAAAAGGTTTTAGAGTACATGAGAATACATAGGATGATCATTTACAAGGGTTTTGTACAAGTGGTAAACATTAACAATTACAAGGGTAACATACAAATATAAGCACACAAGAGTAAACTTAAGGTAATGCATATGCACATGACTATAAAGTCAATAATACTATCTTTTTCATTGGATTTAACGCACAAGTATTTTAATAAAATATAAACATTAATTACTACCATAAAGTGAAAACACATGAATTACAAGGGTTAGACACAAAAAGAGAAAGTTAGCATGCTTTATCAAGTAAAAGTTGTGACAAAATATAGGAGAAGCAAGCAAGTGTCAAAGAAAACAAGCAAGCATAGTATCACTTTAGGTTAAAGGGAGTTTATAAAGGAAATACATCCTTAAAGACAAGTAAACTTATGAAAACATGGATAAACAATCAAGAAGGTCAGGGCATAGTAAGCATGTGAAGTTTAAGTCATGTTGTTAAAAGTTAGGAGTATGCATGATATATGGTCAAGACAAAGTCAAACTTTTAAGCAAGATTAATTCAAGTGTTCATTTGATCAAGCAAAGAACAAGTATCAAACAAGTACATGTATCACAATCAAGAGGATAAGTCATGGATTAGGGTTTTTGGGACAAATTATGATAAAACATCAAAAAAGTAAAGCCTAACTCTAATAAAAATCAAATTTCTCATGGTATAAATATACACAAGGGATGTGGTATCAAGCAACATTCAATAAATACATAGTATGGTTATTCAACATAGATTTGTTCAAGAAATCAACAAGAAAACCAAAGAAAAAGTCTTTTAAAAACAACTAAAAATGACTAGTTTTGAATTAAATAAAAATAGTGGAATAAATAATTATTTTTTTTGTATTTGTTCACATATTCATAAAATAAGGGTGACAAATAAGAAGTGTATAAAAAATCAGCTTAAAAGAAGATGTTTTGATTGGTGAAAAATTAAATGAAAGTTTGATAAAAAAAACAAATAAAACAAGTGATAAAAAAATATGGCTTTGTGGCAAAAAAGGCTTGAACCCACACCCTGATGGTGATTGTTTAAAACTTTACCCACTGAACCATGTGCTCAGTGGTAATAGTAAATACATCCACAAAAATAAATTTAAAACAAAACACTGAAAATACACAGAACAAAAAAAATGCAAAAGGGCTAAGAATTATCCAACAGCAGGTTTCGAACCAGACCCCTTTCGTTTACAACACAAACTCATTGACAAGCGGTTTTACGCTCTCATCCATTTATAACATGACTTGAAATAAATTTAAAATAAACTTAATTTAAAAAAAATGAAATTTTCCATACTTCACCTTCTTCATCTTGTTACAATAACAGTAATAACAACAATGTCAAAAAATCACAACTTTCTCAAAACTCAACCAAATTCAAAGATGTAAAAATGAAACTTGCTCGAAATTTAACAAGAAATTCAAAAACACAAACAATATAAATTAATATCAATTATATCTCATTATTTTTTGTACAAAAATATAAACCCTAACAATTTTTATTTGATAAGAACTTCACACACGAGCAAGATTGAGGCAACTAGGAAAATGGACAATGAAGTCGCCACCAAATATTATTTATCCCACACAAGGGAAAGGAAAATATCGATTAAACTTGAAAGAAAACAAGGTCTTGCAGCCAAGAGAAGGGTATGAGAGTCGATTATGCAAGGGGAAGATATCAGCACCCCTCGCGTCTGTGGTACTCCATAGGATCCACTCTTATTGTTCTAATCAAATGGCGTGTCTATCTAAATTTAAAAGCTAAGGGAAATGCATGAGAAGATTATACAGGGGGAAAAGTTTTAAATGGTTGTGCTCACTTAGGCCCTGCAACCTAATGCCTACGTATCTTTTTTGAGGAATCAGAGCGCTGTAGTTCGGCTCAATTTTTTTTGTCTGTTTTGTGTTTTTTAATTGAATGATGTTAAGTTTCACATTCTACTGCAGCTCGACCTTTGAAGACTCACACATTATCGTAGAAAGGAATTAACACGTTCTTAGCTGAAAAGGTTTTTAAAAGAAAAAGCTTGAAGGCAGCCCGAAGGCAAAAATGTTTGAATTGGTTTAGTCTTTTTTACCTTGAGAAAGGGTTTGGTGATTTGAACCACATTAAAGACTATGATTGAAAGGAAGCACAAGGTTCGGTCTGTACCGCCTCATACTTCCCCCAATACTTAAGGCTCGTGACGCATGGTTCACCTCTTTATTGTTAAGTATTTTCAACACTTGATTAAGAAAAAGAAATTTTAATCTTAATGATGCAAAAGGAGAATGAAAAACCTAAGGGAAATTTTATTCCTAATGTTATCATACAATAGTGGTCCTAAAGTTAGGATTGACAAAGGGAAAGCTACCTAATGTTAACATGCATGGATTAAAATCTTAATGTCTACCTTGGTTTAAAGATGAACCAAGTGAATCTAAGGGAGCTTACAAAGGTAATAATATGAATGTAAAAAACAAAATAAAATGGCTTAAAAGCCTTCCAAACACCTAAGTGTATCACCTAACAAGCCAGCAATGATGAAATAAGTCTAAACTTCTAATGTACATTTTAAGTCATCAATCAAGTAGCACGAATGTGTCACACACAAAACACTAATGTTCCCCTAAGGATCATGCATAAATGGTTCTATCCTAAGTCATTACAAACCATGTTAAAAGCGACAGACAAATTCACTAGCACTAAAGACTTAAGGTGTGAAGATAACACTGATACTTAACATACAAAGGTAATATGACTTAGGCAAGATGAAGACCTACATAAGGCAGTAAGTACACATCCTAAATCTCATACAAATGTATCCCAAAGATGAAAAAATAATTACAAAAGAAACATGCAAGAAAAGGCTAAAGAAAATATACAAATGTCAACTAGTTCCTAGAGTTTACAAGACTATTCCTGAGGGAACATGCAAGGAAGAACGAAGTCGTCATCTCAATTCTAATTGAGTGACACATCGATCAACAATAAATAAAAGTCAATAAACCTAAGGGGAGCATGGCATAAAGCACAAAGGTAATAACCAAAAGTAAGTCACAAATTCTTTATCAAAGCATCAAAACAAATATCTCTTAAACTATTGCACAAATGCACATAACAAGATCATCGCCTACTTCAAGGTAGGACTTTAAGTCAAAAATCGCCTACTTCAAGGTAAGTCTTTAAATAATCAGAAATTGCCTACTTCAAGGTAGGTCTTTAAACAAGCAAAAATCGCATACTTCAAGGTAGGTCTTAAACAAGTAGAAATCTCCTACTTCGAGGCAGGTCTTTAAACAATCAGAAATCGCCTACTTCAAGGTAGGACTTTAAATAAAACTACGTTATGCCACAAACATGGTTTCACAACGCCTACAAGGATAGATCTTTAGTCATGCATCTATATCCTACTTCTCATGACAAGATTAATTAAAAAATAATGCAAAAATGAGGAAGTAAAAAGAGAGCTACGACGATACCTAACATAGAAAGTCTGTTGCTTCTTCAAAACCACGCAGGCGATAAGAAGACTCTACTGAAAGCCTCTTTAAATTCCCTTGATAAAAATTAATGCATTATAACTAACTTCAAAATCTTTTGAAATTCTTCAACGATTATCCTCTGATCAATTAAAAATCGATCACCATAATTATATAAGAAAGATAAAATTAAATCAACCGGAAGGTGCAAACTGCATATAGAAAATATGCTGCCGCAAAAGCCAAAAGCTAGACTCTAAGGCCCTACAAATCTAGATCCATCACAAATTTCTTTTGTTGATCAGATTTCAAGCATCCCAAGAACACAAGGGCTTACAGCAATTCAAGAGGGCCCAGGGGATCTGTTCGGTCCACCAACAACATACTCTCATATAATTATTTTCAGCATTTAATATTTATTATATATTTCAATTCATAATTGTATTAAAATAAATTGAAACAATAATTGAGAAAAGGGATAGAGTGACAGTCATAATTCATGAACGATAACTTCCTTCTCTTCTCCGACGAGTTTCGTCCGCTCTGACCAGCCAACGCCTCCGTCTCAGCCTCACTTCTCCTCGTCTCCTTTCAAATTCGCCGCTCCTCTTCTTCTTTAATTTTTGCTTTTGCGATTTCTGAGTTTTCGTCGCGTTGATGTGTGATTCTGATACGTGTGATCTGTTCTTATTCAGAGCGTCGTGTGATGTTGCATTGTTGAGCGTTGTTGATGAAGCAGAAAATTGAAGAGGTACTGCAGAGAAGCGAGGTTGGTGCGGTATTGATAAAGATGAAGTGTGAAGAGCTTTAAGTCTTACAGAGAGATGAGAGAATTGAAGGTTGAAGTTGCGTGGAGGTTGAAGATTGATAAGAAGATAGATGAGAAGTTGCTGAGAATTTTCTGGTGAGTTTTTCTTTTTGTGAATAACTGATCGTGAATGAGTCTCTAGGTGAATAATGGTGAATAATTATCTGTGAATCTCTGAGTTTTTGAATAATGATGTGTGTGTGATTGTGTATCCCCTTAATTCTCCCCTCTTCTTCTGTTATATAGCTACTTCTGAATGGAGAGAAGTCGGTTACAGATTGAAACTGTCTTGGCCATTGGATGTTGAGTTAGTTATCAGCTTCCAAATTCTGTTATGATGAGTTGTACCTGTTAGTTATTTTCGGTTAGGATTCAGTTATAGGCTAAGAAAAGTTAGTTAGGTTAGTTTTTTGGAATAAAATGGAGTTTAGGAAATGGATTTTAAAGTTAGTTTTGATTTTTTTGTTTGGATTTTGAAGTCCTGAATTTCTCTGCTACTTTATAATTCCCGACTGAATATGCAGGGCTGGTGAAGTTTGGAACAATCATTGATTTAGTCGCTTTCAATGCCAAGAAGTTGATGATGACTTGCAGTTTGGAGAGGAGGAGATTTGTAGAATAGTTGCAAGTGATATGGAAACTTGAAGAGCTCGTAGGGAGCTATTGATCCACTGTCCGACTTTGCTCGTTCTTGTACTAGTGAGAGCCTTGTAATCTAATCATGAAATGACTTGTAATTTCTTGTAATGCTATGGCCTGTAATAAGCTTTTGAGCTTACACTTTTGTAATGCCTTTCTATTCACAAACCCTTTTCCTTCTTATTGTTTTTCTATTTTTTTGAATGCACAAAAATGCAAGAATTTTATTAAGATCCCTCCTGAAATCAAAAGGTCAAGGTGAAAACCTTGAATCATGCTGTTAACTTAAAATGGAAACTTTTGTAATGTAGCATGACCCTTGAATACTCAATTTAAATTCTTGAATGATGTATAATGGATGATGAATATTGTTAAAGAAACACAACGAAGTTGCTTGGAACTTGCGCTAAATTATGGATGAATATTCATTATGGATGAATATTCACTTTGAAGTGTTTGAAATTCTTTCAACTTTGACTTTGTTGACTTTTCTTGATTCTTGATAATTAAGTTTGATAGTTTTGAATGTTTTGATGATTCTTGATTTTTGCAGTTCAATGTTGACTAAAAAGTGAAAGTTTGACTTTTGTGTGACAGTTGACTTTTCATCAGTTAATTATAATTCTTCCACTTTTAATCAATTGTATTTTTGGAAATGTCTTGAACCTTACAATTAGGTCAAGATGTTACATTTGAGTTATTTAAATCATACTTCAAGCCATTAGGTCATTCACTAAGCCAAAAGTCAATGATCCACTTTCTTCAATCAAAATCCTAATTGATCAAGACTTGTATTGATGAAGATTTCTTGATTCAAAACCCTGCTTGACACAAGGAACAAACACACAAGCTATTTTTGTATTATTTTAGAGATACAATGATGCATATGAGGTAGTTTCTTTGATAAAAAATTAGGGTACAACAACATTCGTCATTATGATTTCCCTTAACCTTGTGGTATTTACATCACCTACTTGGTTCAGGCTCCTTCACTTTCGACTTTGAAGGTGGTATAGGCGGGATGTCGTAGGTGTGGAGAACTTCACCTCATGTTTGTTCTTAGCGAGTGTTGAGCGGTGTGAATTTGTCTGCGGATCTCCCATTGCGTTTGAAAGTCTCCTATATCCCTACAGGCAAAGTATAATGGCTTTGGCATTGTTATTGCGACAAATCAGACCCGATGACTACACATTTTTTACATCCATGACTTTCTTTTATGCTTTTATCTCTTCCTCATGATATAACACAAAACTTGTGTCATAATTTTAGTCATGGAAACTACAGGTTTATGGGCGAGAGACACGTTGAAATGCCTGACCTTTAAACCATTTTAAAATGCTATCACGAACATTTCCTAGTGGATGTATTACCTTTATAGCCACCTTAGTGAATCAGACGAGGCACTCTATTAGGGACTCAAAATGTCCCTGACAGGCATTGAATATGTGGTTGTTGAAACTTTCCGGTGTTTACTCGCCAAAAATTGATGGGCAAGTTTCCTCGAGAGGTCTTGATATTTGTTCACCAAAAATAAGGGAGGTTATGAACCATTTAAAGGTTGCTTCCTTGAAAGTACTGGACATGAGATTGCATTTCAAGGATTCAGAAGCGCCAATTATTTCCATCTGAGTATTGATGGCGATAATGTGTTTCTGAGGATCGTTTTTCCATCAAATTTCACCAATGATGGCAAGTTGAAGTTTTGTGGTACTGAAAATGTCGATCTTTTATCAGAACTAGAATCTGACCTCCCGATTACAATGTGTATCCCCAATTTGACAACCTTCGTACAGATCCATTAAAGCATGTGGTCACGAATAGCAAACTCGTGTTTAGTTGTAAATTGTTTTCCAACGTATACATGGACAACACCTGATACCTGGACATCACCCAATTTAACATACATAAACACAATAACTTTGAGGATAACATCACAGTACACCATTTCTATAACCATTCATAACATAAATAAATTAAACTCAACATGAAAACAATCTGCATTTTAGTTTAGGAAGATTTTAGTGCCGCGAACAATATGCAACATAACCCAAATTTTAAAATTCAGACGCAACATTTGTTTTTTAGCACAAAAAAATTCTTACAAGCAATAATAAAAGAAATACATGTACATTAAATTTCAGTTTCTTTTCCTCCTTTTAATGCAAAAAAACAGAATAATATTTCTTTAAAGTACACAATTTGATTGAGAATTGATGAAAATTTTAGTAGGATTTATCAAATTATGGTGGAATGAACATGAAAGGCAGTATACATACAAGGTGGTGTTATAGTCAATTTTCCGCTTAGTGTTTTTGGATTTTAATATATGAATTATATTCGATTTTAACTTCAGACATATTTTTGAAAAAATAGAAATGACTCTTACGATGTAAGTTTGTGTTATATGGACATTTTTTTTAGCAATAATCATGTTTTGAAAAAAAAATACACAAATAACCATGTTTCAGAAAAAATTACACAAATAACCATATTTCAGAAAACGTTATAATGCAGTAGCCATCTCAGATGGCGCATGCATTTCTTTTTTTAAAGGAGGCGCCAAGTGAGATGGCGCCTAGGTGCATGCCATTTGTCCTAAGCCATCTCAATTTTATCTTTGACTGACAAGCATCTATTAAGAGCGCATACAATAATCCTACAAATAGTTGGCATGATCCTTCTTCTACGCATGTCTATGCATTAGACATATCGTACAAAATTTCACGAGAGAGATCAAAGACAAGGCTCTTAAGAAAACAATTATGAACACGGGATATGCATTAAGACAACCTTCGTTCAAACACTATCACAACGAGATCAGATTGTCAAATCTGGATGCAGGTAGGTGGATTGATAATATTCTAGTGGAGAAATGGACAAAGTCATACGATAATGGACAACGATGGGGCCACATAACAATAAATCTTATTGAATCAATGAACAGTGTATTCAAAGGCATACGAAACCTCCCAGTAACCGCTTTGGTGAAATCAACATATTTTAGGATGACTTCGTTATTTGTAAAAAGAGGTGAAATGTGAAACGCGATCTTACAATCGGGACAACTATGGAGTGAAAGTTACATGAAGTATATTAAGGCAGAAGGTGTCAAAGCCAACACCCATCTTATTATAATGTTCGACCGACATAGTCACAACTTCATTGTCAAAGAGACAATCGACCATAACGAGGGGCTGCCGAGATAAGAGTATAGGGTTATACTACCATCTTATTAGTGCGATTGTGGAAAGTTTCAAACCTTTCGTATTCTTTGCTCTCATGTCATTGTGGCATGTATGTATACTCATCAAGATGCATTACTACTTCTATCTCCCATTTACAAGTCTGAAATCTTGCTCAGCGTATACAACTATGGATTTCCAATGGTAGTGAAACCTGATTATTGACCTACATACAAAGGGAAAATAGTATGGCACAACGATCAAATGTAAAGGAATAAAAAGTGTCGTCTCAAAAGCAGGTGTATCACAATTGAAATGGACTCCCTTGACAAGTTAGAAAGAAAGTGTGGTTTATGCCGTCGGGTCAGACACAATCGAAAAAATTGTGCCACTCGTGCTACAAACTCGACAACATAAAAATTATATGCAAACTATCTGCACTTTTTTAAGATCTAAACGTAACTTTTTTTCCATTAAGAACATTTGTTACAACAAACCATACGCAAACAACAAATAAAAACACATCACCACTATTACGATAAAATATAACATGTAAATATAACATCAACAACACGATAAAACATCTAAGAAATTACAACCGTCATTTCATCTGAGTCATGCATCATCATCATTACGTCTCTGTCTGTTTTGACTTCCTCCAACCAAGATTGAGGTCTTCCAGTTGCAAGTGAGGTGATTGTTCTTCTTCTCTAGATCCTTCTAATTTGTTCCCCGGCTTCGATGTCTCTCTCTAGTCATCGCATCAATTCTCTCTTCAGACGCTCCATGGAATGAATGTGTCAAAATTTCATTTTCATTGGAGGTTTGGTGGCCGAGAAAATAACGTACTCATCTTTAATGAAAATCATGAGATGTCATGATTCAAAAAACAAAGAGGAAATGAGAAGAGAATGTGAGAAAGTGTGAAGAATGATAGAGAAGCAGATGTTTTATTTATAGAAAATCCAATTGTACGCAGTAGTCATCTCAGATGGCACCTCCTCTCCATGTAGTGCATGCGCCATCTCACATGGCTAAAAGAAGTGCATGCGTCAAGTAAGATGGCGCCTAAGGCAAAAAGATAAGTACATGCGTCAAGTGAGATGACACCTCTATTGATATATATTCTGAAACATGATTATTTGCGTAATTTTCTCTAAAACTTAATTATTATTTTTTATTTTTTTAATACCTGATTACTGCTAAAAAAAAATTCTATTATATACACATTGAAATTTTAAAATCTGGACCTCACAAATGACATTTTGGGATTTAATAAGGGTGATTATTCACCACTGTGAGTGGGATGAGTAACCCCCAATAAATATTATAAAGCATATGTTTTAGCCTCCAAGACTTTAAATAACCCCGTCCAAAGCACTAATGGTGGCTCTACACGTTGATAGCAAAAAAACAGCTATTCTAGACATTTTTGAATTTTATACAAGTTTCACCAAAGCACTAATGGTGGTGGCT